ATTCATTTGCTTCCTTTCTTGATCTGCAATATTTGCATTGAGCTAGAAAAAATAGAAGAACATAGTTTATCGATAGTTCTGTTGCAATTTTCTGCAATAGTGCTATTGTGGTTTCGAACCATGTGCAACAATTGTTTAATAACACGTTCGATATGATTTTTCTGAAGTACATGTACATGTACCTCATATCCTTTTTTAGTCGTTGAAATAAAAGGTAAATTCTATCAGGTTTGCACCTAAAATCTTTATCATACTATTGTATTGTTATATATAACATTGTTTTTGTTTCCATTTTTGTTAAACTTACATCTTTTTCTCCAAACAATAAACGCAGCAATCACAACTGCGGTTATGAATAAAACTGTTAATATAACAGCAGGACCTCCGTAGAATAAGCCTTTATCTTCATCATTATTCGTTCGAAAATCTGTTAAAGATAATCAGAATCTATGTTACCAAAGTCAATGTGTACAATGAAAATAAATTCATCAAATACCTCCAAATCATAAACATGGAAGAGGAGAAAAACACTACAGTCTTCTGTTTTATTTTATTCACAAATGTTGTACACTAGAACATGATTTAGGTCCTACAGTCAAATGTAAGATATAAAATAAAAACGAACATACCTTGAGATTAAGGAATGTAAGACACCTGTCTATTGGGGAAGAATGTTTGTTAGTTTCTGGATTAACCTTGGTTCTTTGTGTCCTTGTATTGTTGTTTCATTGACCAATACAACAAATTTGTTTTTTTTGATATAGCATATTAATTTGTTTTATAAATACTTTGAGTGGAATTTCCTGTGCATTTAACCATGTTTTATCATTAAAGTACCCGTCGATTTTTATGTATTGTATCATGTTGTCATGTTTATACTAAAAATAAAAACCTTCATTCCTACAGTCAAATATAAGATATAAATTAAAAACGAACCTACCTTGAGATTTAGGAATATCATAAAGGAAAAAAGTAAATAATTCGATCCCAAATTCATTATGAATTTGTACGGTATAGTTTGTTAAATCTTTCAGAGTAATTTCATTTATGTGAAGTATGCCAATGTATCCATCTACATGGATCTTCTTATCATGGAAAGAATCAATAATAACTGCTGCTGTCTCAGTCATTGTGTATCGTTCTGAAGATTGAAGGTTGAAATTACGATTGTCTTCATATTTTAACCAAGTTAGCTTAAGTGGTGGAGGCCAGCTCGTAAATTTTACTACTAGTGATCCTACACTTCCAAGTTTGCAAAACTGTTCCGAAGGATTGTAAATGGATAATTGTGGACGTCCTGAAAGAAAGCGATCAATATCAAATTCCACAGGATAAATAAAGGCAACAGTAGTATACCGCTGTTCAAAATTCATAAATCGATAGAGAAAAAAACAAATCCGGGTTACAAACTTAAACTGAGGGAAACACATCAAATATAAGAGAACTACGACACAACAGAAACACAACATTTAAATGTAACACACACAGAAACGAACTATAACATAACAATGGCCATTTTCCTGACTTGGTACAGGACATTTTAAGAAAAAAATGATGGGTTGAACCTGGTTTTGTGGCTAGCCAAACCTCCCGCTTTTATGGCAATGTTTAATATAACATGAAAATGACAACATTACAGGACAGGACTTCAATACAATTACATGGGAGAACATATAGGATAGAGAAACATACGAATAATAGCTAACAAAAGGTACCAGGTTTAAAATTTAATACGCAAGACGCGCGTTTCGTCCACACAAGACTAACAAGTGACGCTCAGATAAAAAAAGTACGAAAGCCAAAACAAGTACAAAGTTGAAGAGCATTGAGGACCAAAAGTTCCAAAAAGTTGTGCCAATTACGACTAAGGTCATATGTCTGGGATAATCTAAGTTCACAGAATGGTACTCTGATCAAATCATGACTGGGATGAAAGCCGGGAAAAAAGTTAATAACATTAAGGTCGACTTAAATCTTTCCACTTTAAAACCACTGCACTCTGGATGGTTAGTGCATGCATTTCAGAATGTAAGATAAGGTTGTGTATGTTTATGCTGAAAAATAATAAATCACTCTTTGATCTGTTGGTTACTTAGGAAACATATAACTTTATTTTTTTCCGTTCATGATCAGTCATACGAATACTGTAATTGTACTTATTTTCGCGGTGTATTTATTTTCACGAATTGCGCGGTTGATTTATAAATAAATACACGCGAATCTAAATCCAACCTTTTAACTGAAAACTTACTGTTCATCTATGCATGTAAACTTGACCTTACATCGATGACAGGACATGTTTACAACCCTGTTAATCCGATAAATAAACAAACTAGATTAATATCAACAGGTGACAAGTAAAAACCAGTTAAAGATCAAAGAGACAATAATGACTCGAGATTACCTTGAACCATATGACTTTTCAATTGTAGTTGTTATCGATTGATTTACAAACATGTGTGTATAGTAACAGACAATGTTTTTGAAAAGCTTTACTGTAATCATTTGATAACAAACAAAATTGTAATTATAATTAGATTTTATGAAAATGAAACAAGCACAAATAAATACACACAAATAACCAAAGTTACAAAAGTTTGTCATTTACTGAGTGCGACTTCTGCTATACCGTTCTTAACCCAACCTTTTTTTCAAACTTTCATCTTTTACATTCTGAAATACATGCACTAACCACCCAGAGTGCAGTGGTTTTAAAGTGGAAAGATTTAAGTCGACCTTAATGTTATTAACTTTTTTCCCGGCTTTCATCCAAGTCATGATTTGATCAGAGTACCATTCTGTGAACTTAGATTTTACCAGTTGTTTGAACTCATCATTTCCTGAAACGTCGAGTGGCTGTAACTCACTTGTACAAAATGCTGGTACAAAACGAGTGCGAATGTTATTCTCGCTAATTTATTCATGAATGATTCAACTCTATGTGCACGAAAAACATCGAAAATGCACAAACCGGGCTGTTTTGCTCTGGATAATGGCAATTTATTACGGACGGACTCAATGTACGGAATAAGGACTTTGTCAGCATACTCGAGCATGTTTAACATATTGAAATACAAATGAAGAATGACAAACAAATGTATTAAAATTGAAATCAGTTCACTTTTACCGGTTATCTTAGTACTACAAACATTTTACCCGACGGCTATTTACGCATTTACCTTAATACAGTATACCCGACGTCTATTTACGCTTTTACTTTTAATAAAGTTTCATATTTACACACGAGGCCATAGTTATAACCGTAAAACGATTTTTTAATTTTATTTTCAGGAAAAAATCGCGAAAATAAATACCCGCGAACTTGTTTGAAATACACAATTCGCGAAAATAAGAACCCGCGAAAAAAAGTACAAGTACAGTATATGAATTTATGAGCATTTGTAGAAAATAGCTGACAGAGAACCTTCTATATATATATAAGGCTTCAACATACCCTTAAAAACCATTTAAACCTATAGAAATACAACATTGATAAAAATCTGAGACATTGCTGGAAACTAATGCATATTAAACCTGCTGCGAAATGTACAGTTAAAAAAAGTATAACGGAACATCACCATCAAAGTAATAGAAATCAGCTATAAAATGATACGTCACTTTTGTGATAGATTTAAGTAGGAAGATTTCCAAGAAAAAGTTCTAAAAAGGACATGATCACTTCTGTAAGAAATTAAGTAAGAGTGAGTTCAGTTTGATAACAATCATTTGTATATCTAAAAAAAAGAGATTATTTTCGAATAAAATATCGTCTATACAGCAGTTTGTGTTAAATACCTATCGAATCGTAATTCGTTGGGTCTTCAGGAAGTTTTTTTCATGATGGTTTTATTATTGAGAAAGGAATTGGAAAGACTTCAACAAATGATACTACAACCAGATACAATACGGCCTTCATCATGGACCAAGCCGTATCATATAGTAAGTAAGACTTCAAAAGAGTGGTTCACGCCACAAATTTGTAAAATTGTTAATACCTCTATTATGATAAGATTTGTTCCAATATGTTATAAGTTGTTTTAAACCGGTTGTAAAAGAACAGGTAGTAGAACCAAAACGTGTATGCAATCACATTTACCAGATCCAAATAAAAAACGAATTTAATTACATTTTTATGTAATTGAACAGCTTATTAAAGGTGAAAACCTTATGGTGTTCAGAAAAATGATTCGTAGAAGTTCAATTTTATCCTTTAACAAAACAATGTAAAATTCTAATTATTTCTGTCCTTATATATTGAAATCCAGAACAAGCACCAGAACTAATAACAAGAACTTGCACAACATTAAATGCAAAGTATAATACTCCATTCATTATTCGACATTGACGACAAATTTAATGTTCTGAAGAACAAATCAGAGAATCGTCAAACAAGATGTGACTGCCCGTCATTTTTGAAAATCTCTTACGTGGTTTTAATCAACAATTATAAAATAAGACCAAGTTATGCCTTAACAGAAACGCTGTGAAATATGTTATGAAAGTAACGGAAGAACAACGGTGGCAAGGACGGATATATTAGTTAATTGTAGTATTTCATGCAATCCGTGAGGAGAGAATATTTTTTTTGTAACTTTGAAATATATTATAGTGCGGTAAACTCTGCTAAAATTATGGTCGAACGGTAATATCAATCAAAATGTGTGTAAAAACGGGATTTTAAACCAAAGCATTTATGACTTGTACACTTTTAAAGGATAGTACTGGCCATTTTCCAGATTTTCTTAACCTCTTTGGTTTTTCTGGGTCGTTGTCTTGCATATTATATAAAAAAAAACATTTTTTACGTTGATCATATATATATAGACAACACTCTGATCAAATGAACACACAACCAAATAAAGTAAGCAATTCATGCGGCATTTGCAATATCAGTTTTAAAATTATGTCAAAGTTTGGTAATTGTCAGACTCGTCCACTATAGCTTACAATCAAAGGAAAACATTTTTTTATTTATATCGATTAATTTATTCATTTCTTACCCTCATTCACAAAGAAAACTGATCCTGACTGAATCTTATTTCCTTCTTTGTCAACTATTCCATTTTCAGCAAAACATTTGTATATCCCAGTGTCTTGATATCTTTGCGTTCTTTCCAATTCGGGGATTTTCAGAATTCCATTTGAACCACTGCCTAAAGTCCTTATTTTCTCGCCGTGTGCTGAATGGTGCTCCCATTGATAAAATTTATAGATGATTGGGTTGCCTTGAGGTTGACAAATGAGTTCCCTGATATTATCTTCTGCGGTCAAATTTTTGTATCTAATATTGATAGATGGTGGATCTGTATATACATATATTGAAATAAAATAAAATAGAATAACGGAACTAAAAAATTCAAATTGTTCCTAATGCATCACATTACTCAATTACAATTAAGGTTGAAATGTAGACCAAACAAGTACGTTAAAGACTTCAGATGTCTTGTTGTTCTGGTTTTTGTTTTGTTATGTTGTTGGAATACTCTCTCTTTGAAGTATTTACCTAATATTATTGTATTCATATTCATAAGTATTCAGTCTACATGTTATTCTAATGATTTAAATAAAAAGTAAAATCACAAAAATACTGAACTCCGAGGAAAACTCAATCGGAAAGTCCCCAACCACACGGCAAAATCAAATGACAAAACACATCAAACGAATGGACAACAACTGTCACATTCCTGACTCGGCACAGGCACCCTCAAATGTAGAAAATGGTGGACCGAACCCGGCCCCACAGCGCCAAACCTCTCACCCGTACGACAGTCTCATCAAATTCCGCCACATCTACAACGATGCGTGAACAAAACAGACATCATAAATAAAATAGTCAAAATATGGGCACAGCAGTCATCACTGTGTCACAATATCAAAACAAACAACTATTTACAAAAAAAGCACAAAAGCATCTATCAAATTAAGACCCACATTCATTGCTTCGCGTGTCTGACGTCAGAAAATGTAAACGTCACATAAGAAAAAAGTTTGTCATTCAATGTCTATTCAAAACAATTTTATAATTTCACATGGGGAATGTTGGTATACAGGGTTAAAAAATCAAAAGTTATGTTAGAATTAATTTCAGAAATAGACCGAGATTTATAATTGTCCAGAAGTTCTTCAGAACCCTTAAGAATCCACATATGGTAAATACCACTACGCGAGTAAAATAAATTTGTCGTTTGTCGTTCAAAGTATTTTCAAATTTATAATAGAACAATAACATAATGACATATAATAGAACAATAACACAATGACGGGATCTTTTAAAGTACAGAGTCACGTTATAAGAACCACAGAAACACAAAAAGTCGCATATACAAAACACACCAGTAAAAATTAAAGATAATACAAACACATTGACGGGATGTATAAGTACCTAGCCACGTCAAATGGATATCACAGAAAACAAACCAAACAGTAAAAGTAATATTAATAATAGAACAAAGACAAATGAAAGAACAATATTACACGTTGTTAAGATGATAAACAACGTCAGTATGCAGAATCTATACTTCAAGACCATCATGTATTGTTTGTGAAGTTGATACGGAATATTTATCAACAAGGTCTTGGTACCTTCCGATGAACTTTTTTAGAAAAAGGACGAGACGTTCTTTGACATACCCCTGGTTCATCAACTTTCTGCTCAGACACTGGTGACGTTTTACAAAGTCTGAGTAAGAGCTGCAAGCTCTTGAATATCGAATAAGTTGGGAAATGTATATCCCATATGCAGGTGAAGTTGGTATATTTAAATAAAATATCCTATGCTCGATTATCAGTACAAGAATAGACATTCATTAATAACATGTTTCATAATTGTTTTATAAACCATCCCTGTTGTGAGACGCGTCCATTTTCCCCGCCCGTCTCATAAATGATAAAAACACTATAAATTTCGTTCGTCCGAATCATCACCTTCAGCAGTGACAATCAAATCCAAACATTTTGAAAGTCAATAGTTAATGATTACCCGGATATGATGAAATGACCATTACAAAGGAGTAGCTAAACTCATCTACGGTCCACTTTGCCCTAATCAGTTGTAATCAAAATTTCTAAAATTTTCTTAAATTATTAACGGAGAAAATTAAATGTATGTTATACAACAGTTAGTATCAGCTCAATATTTAACTCTAAAAAACGTATAAATCATTTTTACCTGATTTGATTGGTCAATAGTTATTTATTTTTTTATTTGGCACATGCAACTTTTGAAAATGATTAAAAAAAATAGGTAACGATATGATTTAAATTCTTCGATCATAAGATATTTAGAGATACTCATGAAAGTACTTACTCGATGTTCATCGATATTCATTTATAAAAATGTATGAGAATTAAAATTTAATAAAAAAAAACCTGTTTTCAATGTATGTGGTCACTTTGGCTTGGGACAGGATTTGATATGACATAACACTCCTAGCTTCGTGGTAATGTTTTTATATTCTGATTTTTTTAAAACATTTAAAAAAAAAAATTTCAACTTGATCTATCACGACATGGTTCTAAATCGCATTAACTTATTTTGAATCTTTGGTGGTGATAAGAAGTTTTTCAATAACTGACTAGAAGAAATAGTTTCTGAGGTCAATTTTAGACAATACAAAAAACAAACAACGATATAGGTGTACAGGATAAGCAAGCAGAAGCATGCGAGCTTCAAACCCCAAAGGTTAGACAACTGCATGGAAAACCCATTGGTAAGGCCTGTAGTGAGTCAAATTAGGCATGTCAGCAGCCGCTATTCATGCCGACAAGTTCCTTTTTGTTCATATGAGATAAACTTCACAGGAGCTTCAAGAAGACTGAATGAAATCTAACATCATTTGCTATCTTCGCTTTCCGCTTTATGAATGATTTCCTCTCTCTAGTTAATTCAAAGTTTGGGGACTATGTTCAACACATCTTTCCAATCAAACTTGAAATAAAGGACACCACATATACAGTCCACCTTATATCTTGACTTCCATCTCAAAATGGAAAATGAAAGTCAATAGAGAACAACACTTTACGACAAAAGGGATCATTTTAGCTTCCAAATTGTGGACTTTTCATTTCTAAGTAGCAACATTTCAAAAACACATTAGATAAAAAAGTGTTTAATTTCACAAAGTTATTTACATCGATGAATAATAAAACATCAAATTCTTAAAATATGGTCTTATATCATGATTTACAAGAAGGGAGATTTGGAAGATTTATTTTAAGAAAAAAAATCTTTTGATAATGAATTATACTCACAATAAACTTCAAGAGTTTGGCTTCTGGTGATTCCATCATTATCAATGCTGTCAAAAGCTCTGCAAGTAAGTTTACGTTTATCAAAAGACCTGTACACCTCTAAGCTCAAAACTGATTTTACATTGTATGTATCAGTCGGACTGATATTGTCGACATCTTCGTAGGAGCTGTTATAGAAATCATCAAGCAAATTCCATTCAAAAGATGTTGGAGGTCTACCACCAGTCGCAAAGCACGATGCATTCAGAACATCGAATTCATATAAGGTGTGGATAGTTTCCATTATAACACTTTCAGTTTTAACTGAAAAGATTTCAATTAACAAGCACGTTAAATTATAACAGAATGCACACACTGACATTTAGGATCAAAGATTTGCGAACAGGTTGAAATTTATAGTTAGCTGTAAATTAAACAATGTTTCAGTTGTTGAATTATGATTTTTCAATTATTTATTGTAAATTCTAACAAACAGAAAGACAGAAGAAAACCTGAAAATATATGTCGATGATTGTTTCGATCTACATGTTCATATATCATTTATGAATTAGGTAATTTCTTAGAGTTTGACAGAACTATCAATGAACCCGTTGTGGTATTGAGCCACATCACTTGCTACGAATTACCAGTTGAACCATTAGTAAATCAATGGGCTTTACTATTGAAGCAAGCAGTTCTAATCGGTTCGTAGTAAATGCGTTAATCCAGTGGTTTTGGTGGAGTTCATGTCTCTCAATCCTTAGTTTTCTGTTAAGTGTTATTATTTGCCTTTCGCCTCATTCTTTTTATTTTGTTGTTGAATTTTTGTCTTTGAAATGTCGTAATGTTAATTATTTTAATTGATATTTGTACATTGTAATAATTTTCACATTCACTGATTTTCCTTCAACGTCCGTAGTGCTTTGTAGGGTATCTAATCAACAGTTACATGATATTCCTATACAAGTAATATCAGTTTTGCCGAGAATTTCCGGTTTGATAGACGGTTATTCAAATTCGACATTTCTGTGTCGCATACAAAATGCATAAATTGTAACGACATGAATGCAATGCCCAAACTAAGAGATGACTGTCCGGTATTTTGCTATGAATCATCCTCTATGCATATACAAGAGTGTACATAGTTGTTATAAAAAGTTATTTAACCCTTTAATGCAGGTCGAGAACTATTGCTCTGCTGTACAATTGTGGTAAATTCCCAATTTTTTGTTTAAAACATAGGTGAAATATGCAAGTTAACTACATGGAACTGGCTTTCAAACTTAAGTTATTTAAACTTACGATTGAGGTATAAGAAAGATTCAATATTAAAAAGAAGTTTTAACTCTGAGTGGTTGGCCGTACAACTAAAATTGCTTCTATCGTCTATTCTCGATGGTTGCATTGTGTATACAAGCTTTCCGTTATCTGCTGTGGCTAAAAGGTTGTCATTCTTTGAAAGTATTAGACTTGGCGGAGGGTGTCCACCAACACTTTTACATGTTATGTTCATCGGTTGATCTTCGTTGCCTTTAATGTATTGTTGGACCAAATTTTCAAATAAAACACTTGTTGGTGGAGCTAAAATTGAACTAAATTAGACAAACACTATCCCGAACTGCCTCGATGTAATTTTTTTAAGAACAGATGGTAAATGTGTTCAAGCTGCAGTCTAATGGTTACGTATTCATCATGATGATATATACATATTGGTTTATTCAAAGTCACTGTGATGTAAATAAAACATGCAGAAAATCGAAAAGAGTATAGTATATCAATGGTTTGACTGACTGTGTATCTACCCTTAGGTATAGATTGTTTGGCCGCATTTGCAGAACTTTTCGGAATTTTCAGTTTTTAATGCTCTTTAATTTCAACATTATTCAAACTGTAATATTCAATATCTTTTCAATGTAAATTCTGACCTCCGATTGTGGCTGTTTCGAAATTTCTTACAACACCAAAGCAACAACAACAATTATGTTAAAAACCTGACCAATTAAATCGCTTTTTTTTTGTCTTTCTGCATGATGTGTTTTCATTTCAATTAATCTCTCCTTGGAAAGAAAAGAAAAATGATATTTTCAAATAGGGGTTCAATTTTATCTTGAACGTCAACTTGCAAATATTTTGAATCTAAAATAAGCAAAAAACTAACGACTTTCACAGAAACATATCTGTAGAGTTTCGTTTCAATAAGTTTATCCGCTCTCGAGAAAATGTACTCGTAAATTATGGCAATTCAGAAAGTAAAAAAGGATACCATGACATGACAGCGATGTTTGATGACAAATCGGCCCCATAAAAAAATATACCGGAATGTTTGTTTTCATTCTATTCAGAGGACATCAAAAAAGAATACAGAAAAATATCAAAAGTAAGTGAACAGATGACGAATAGATTGATGCAAAGTGAGCTAAAACGTTTACACTTGGGTTCATCTTAAAAAATATCACACTATATTTTGATTTTCTACAGGTATTATTTACATTCAAAATCATAAGGTAATCTTTATATAAACACAATTAAACAAATTTGATGATGAAACAAGTTCACTTCTTACCAAAGAATTACACTATAAGGTAAATATATAATTGTCATCCGCCAATGCATATATTATCATTCAGAAGCACATAGTTTTATCTGTTAATATTTACTATTGTATATTATATAAAGTTCATCAGGATTTGTTGGCAAACAGTGCATGTTTACGTGCAGCTAAATCTGTACAACTGTTAAAACTGTAAAACTGTAAAAAACCTGGCACTTATATAAGAGTAAAATGTATTTTCTTCTTCAGAAAAAAGGCTTCCCTGAATTTTAATGCACATAAGATCGTCAAATGGAAACTATAGAGTTTGATTCAATACTTTCCATTCCGTTATCTGATATACGATTGATGTACGATGAACGTCAAATCAATTCTTTGATAACAATAAGTAATCTTAGCATTGTTAAGGTTCATCATTACTTTTTAATAAATATGGCTGTGTCGACATCAAAACATTTACCCTCATCAAAGACAAACCTTTGCACCTGGAAAAGTTTCAAGGAATTACTGGACCTAGATATGTATAAGTTATAATCATTTTATATTTTAAAGAATTAAACACTTTTTGATTTTGAAATTCATTTTATTTCTAACCCTTCTGATGATGGTAAAGTAAACAATTATATAATATTCATTTGTTATGATCCACTCAATTACACTGTTTAAATTGTCTATAATTGCTGTCCGGACATCGTGTGTCCCTAATTTATCCGCGTCAATCAGTTCAATACATCACACTTTTACATGAGAGGCATCTAAAACATTTTTCCATACTTTTAAAATTTTGACACCAGCGGGAGCAATTAAAACATTGCACAACAAAGGAAAGGATGTTTCTTAAACTCAAGGGCAAGCCATGGCTTTGAACTTTTCCAGATGCACAGGCTTGTATTGTCTTGCTGTAAAAACAGTCATATTTGCCAAAAGATTGAAGTTTTTTTTATGATAGTTTTGTTTTAAAAGTTTACACTTTTAATTAATTTGCTTCATTTTAATCATTTAAAGCTCAGTGAAGTGCAATTACATTTCCAAATCAACGTTAACTCACCCGATATACGTCAATAATTATTATTGTAACACATACGTTTTTCAACAGATTTATTAAGAGTATTTACCTTTTGTTATGTGAATTGATATTTTTGATATCTCAGTTGTAGATGTGTTTGTATGGCATGTATGCTGCAATGGCTAAATGGTGGTAACACATATGACAGTATTTTTATGTTTTTTTTTTTAATAAACCCGCATTTGTCCTGACAAACTGTTTCGATTGATGTGTGTTTGGTTTGTATTTGTGTTCTTTTCCTAACCCCCTTATTTGCGTTTGAGGTCGCTAATAAGCAAAATAATTAAACACGCTTAATTTATCAGAAAATTAGAATCTACACCGACCTCGTCAAGGACATTTACAAAATGTTGTTAAATTCTTCAGTCAATTTTGATTTTAACGAAGATTTTATATTTGATATTGTTAAGAATACTTTATATGTAATCATTTTGAATCGTGCGAACTTGATATGGCTTTGTTAAGTTTGTATAGAACGAAGATACAATAGTTCATGCATTCATTGTATGTTCAAATAAGATCAGTATTTAAAGTGAGAGAAACAATAGTTTTGAGTCGTTAAAATAGTTAAGGATGACATGTAGGGTAAATGATATTTATATTATGGTAGGTAATTTGATTCTTATTGGAAACTCATTTTCAAAGGGCTTCTTAAAAGAGAAACATTTTGATACCCAGTGTTTGACGTCATGAAATCAATACAGAATATTACAACAAAAAATATGGATAGAAGATATCATATGATAGGCCAAAAAAGTAGGAAAAAAACTCCTACTTGCACTGTAAAACGTACAAAATTATAAACTTGGTATCTTGGATTATTTTTTTTTTTATACCAACTAGGTAATAAGACTATCTAAGATAGGGACACAGCTCATGTTTTGTGTTATATTAAAGCCATACATGTTCGAACAGCAGTTTATTTCTCCTTTTACAAGAGGACAACGTTGGCTCCAATCGCATTTTTTTTTTAATTTAAACAATCGATAACTCACGTTTTGAAAATACAACTTAGTTCAGTACCGTAACTTATGTAATTCCAAATATGCTCCCACTAATACTTACGTGTTAATCAATATTAACGTTGTATTGGTATAGATTAAATTTGTTAAATCGTTCAACTTGAACTAACGCGATGATTATTCAAAATATTTTCAAAAAACTACATATACATGTACTACTTTTCTAACGGTTTGTATTTGATAGCCAATATACTCTATGCCAAATAAAAGGAGTTAATTAAAACGAAAGTGCATTTTTCAGTTTGTATGGACAGTATTTGCGACAATGTAGAGCAAATATTCGTAATATTTTCCCCCTTTCAATTAGCAGTCGTACAATGTCGTACATTGTATGTAGTTAATTTCACACAAAAGAAGGTGTTTAAGGTAATAATTAAAAATCATCGAGAATATTCAGGTTTCTGGACGTTTTTCTTTTTGGCCCTGGTATTGTCTGTTTTTCATCGATTTATGATAGTTGATTGTCCCTTTGGTATCTTCGGTCTCTTTTTTTAGATGAATAAAAAGTAAAAAGAGAGACAGCTTAAAAAATAAAAAAAGATTGTTAAGTTGAAAACGATATTCATGCTTAGGAAACAACATAAGTTATCACAAATCATTCAAAGAAATAGTGGACATGTGTCTCTTGTCTATATGAGTTCTTCTTACCGGAAACGAGCCAACCACTTTTTAGTATGCA